CTGGGGGTGGGGGGTGAAACCCACCTGCCCCGACCTCCGACCTGGGCCACCTGGAGGGAGCCCGCTCCTGCGCCCCCACACGTGCCGCCTCTGAGGACAGGAAGGTCCCAGCGGGAGGGGGAGGGGCGCGTCAGGGCCAGAGGAAGTGGGTTCTTGGGACAGACCTCCCCCGGTCACAGACCCTGGCATATCAGAGGCCAACCTGGGTAGACACAGATGCCCTTTCCTATTACGGCCCAGAGCCCAGCCCTTCCCTCCCCGCCCACCGTGTCCCTTCCCTAAAAACACACGGGAGACGGCCTCCTCCTGTGAGGCTGTGGTGAACCCCCCGGGAACGCCGAGGGCCCCATCTCTCTGGGGCTGGAGGGAGGGCTGGGGGTTTGGCTCCGGACCATGGGAGTATGTGCCCCCACCCCTCAGAGACCCGGACTTTCTGGGGGACCTCGAGGGTCGTCCTGGGTGGCCAGTGCAGGTCCCCTGAGGGTCACCCACGTCCTGGCAGCTCAGGGTCACTGCTGCCGGGACTGAGGCCATGCCCACTGCAGGCACCAACGAGCTCCGTGTGGACCTGGTGGACTTCCAGGGCAACCGCTACTTTGCCAAGTACAAGTCGTTCAGGGTGGGGAACGAGGCCGAGAAGTACAAGCTGGTCCTGGGCGCCTTTGCTGGGGGCAACGCCGGTGAGTGTCAGCTGTACGGTTGCGGGTGGGAAGTGAGGGGTGGGCCGTGGGGGTAGGCAGTGGAGAGCGTCTGGGCGGGGTCCTGGCTCTGTGTCCTCGGGCCTGGGCGGGGCCTGGCCCCACCACGTTCCTCCATTTTGGGTGGGCAGAGGGAATGGGTGGTGGGTATAGGCAGAGGGTGGGCAGTGGGGGTGGGCAGTTGGGATTGTCAGTGAGGGGGAGGCAGTGGGTGGGCCGTGGGGGTAGGCAGTGGAGAGCGTCTGGGCGGGTCCTGGCTCTGTGTCCTCGGGCCTGGGCGGGGCCTGGCCCCACCACGTTCCTCCATCCACACGTTGGGATAACCTGCCTCCACCTGGATGCGCCCATGACGATGGCGGGACACACGGCTACAAAGAGCAGGACCTGAGCGTCTCCCTCCTGACCGCCCGCATTGGAACCGGTGGACAGGACGCCCGGGTAGCACTGCTCATGGCACCACGTCCCTCCCGTGGGGCCTGCGGGACCTGGACGTCTCGGGCAGTGGCCTCCCCTCTATGGGGCACAGTGCCCGTTCGCTGGTGGGCACAGAGCCGAGGGGGGATACCGAGGCCGGGGATCCGCCGACCGAGCGTTCGCTGGCGTGCGCGGCACCATCGGACTTCACAGCACACGACGCGCAGCTGGACAGCCCGGCCGGACCTGGAGCCGGCACCTCCTGGCGCTGAGTGTAAGCGGCCCCGCTTCTCCCGGCAGGGGACTCCCTGACCCAACACAACAACTCGCTGTTCTCCACCAAAGACCAGGACAACGACAGGGACTCCTCCAACTATGCTGAGACATACCAGGGCGCCTGGTGGTTCTACAGCTCCCACTGGTCCGACCTGAACGGGCGCCACCTTGGGGGCTCCCCCGGGAACTCTGGGAACGGCATCTACTGGTATACAGGGCAGTCGAACTACTACAGCTACAAGGTGTCCGAGATGAAGGTGCGGCCCGTGTAGGGCGGTCGGCGGCCTGGAGCGTCTCCAAGCGGGTCCGCGCCCCTGGACCCTTCAGTTTGTGGGCTGACACTCTATCCACTGTGCCAAACCGGCTAGGCTAGCCTTCTCTTCCCTTTATCCTCCTAAGCCTATGAGTGACAGCTGCTTCCTTTAATTACTATTTTGGCACCATCCTCATTATTCTTTCAGGCTTCCAAAACCTGCATATACAATCCGCCTTGTGTATTATATATCTCCTTTATTTGAAAAATTACTGGTAGTACGGCTTGTATTTTCCTGAGTAGACCCTAAGTAACACAGAACTCTTCAAAGGAGACACGGTGTGGTAGATAGCGTTACTATGCCCAGTTATTTGCCACCAATCTCTGTGGAAGAACAGTACTTTCCCACCCTGCTGACCTAAGGCTATGACCAGTGACATGCCAGGGTAATGACATGTGAGGATAAGCCATCTGCCACCCCTTCTCAGCAAAAGCTTTAAGAACCATCACATTACTTTGCCATGACTCTTTTCCCTCTATCAGGACACTAGCACGTCCCAAGTGGGAGCTGTAGCCAACTCACACAGGACACGGAAAGTGAGCTAGAAATAAACCTTGTTGTTGCAAGCTAAGGAGATTTAGGAGATGTTTGTTACTGCAGCATACTCTAGGCCAGCGGTTCTCCACCTGTGGGTCGCGACCCCTTTGGCGGTTGAACGACCCTTTCACAGGGGTCACCTAAGACCATCCTGCATCTCAGATATTTACATGATGATTCATAACAGTAGCAACATGACAGTGATGAAGTAGCAACGAAAATAATGTTATGGTTGGGTCACAACATGAGGAACTGTATTTAAAGGGCCAGAAGGTTGAGAACCGCTGTCTAAAGATCGATGGGGAAATGTCCTCCCGTGAGGACAGAACAAAAGAAACAGAACCCAGTGCCAAGCCCTGAGGGGAGAAGACGGGGATCAGAAGGGGCTGGTGTTGGGGTCACGACCTAACGAGCGGCATCAGACCCCGGCCTCGGCCAGAACCAGCGTGTGGTGAGCCGTGGCCCTGCGTGTGGCGCTGCTGGTCAACATCACCTCCCAAACCCGGCCTTTCCGAAGAGGAGGGGCCTGGGAGGGGATGGACTCGGGTCCTCGTCCAGAGCCTGAAGCCCCCTCCGGGCGCAGAGCCAGCCCTGCCCCCCATTGACGTCTCAGCCACCATGAGCCCTTTAATTCGTTGTCCTTGTCATGGTGGCTGATGGGCCATGTGTGTGGGGGGCGGCCAATGACCGATTCCTGGAGCTTCGCCGGAGGCTGGGAGCCCCGCCGCCCACCCCAACACGGGGTGGAGGTCCCAGCCAGCGAGCCCCAAGCGCCGGGACCATCTGGAGCCCTCCATCTGCGCTGAAGGAGCCGGCGCGGCCCTCCCCCGTCCCTGGGCCCTCCCCCACAGGAGGGTGCTCTCGGCTTAACGGGGTGCGAGCAGAAGTCACCGAGCCTCAGACAGAGAAGGAGGTGCCGCTGCCCAGCGCCCGGTCC